TGCTTCAATGATAATGACAGCTCTTTGGATCTCATCTTGAGAGTTGACAGCAACAGATTCCAAATGCAAATAGCACACTTGAAATGAACTCTGGACCTTTTATCTGCTCATTGTAATTGGGATAATGAGGGAATAACACACACCTGGCCATGGAACAGCTGAGAAGCCAATTGTCCCATTACTTTTGGTCCCTTAACAAGTGGGAGGCACATATGCAAACTGTTGTAATTTCTACACCGTTCACCTGATTTGGATGTAAATACCCTCAAATTAAAGCTGACAGTCTGCACATCTTGCTCGTTTCATTTCAAATCCATTGTGGTGGTGTATAGAGCCAAAAATGTTAGAATTGTGTCGATGTCCCAATATTTATGGACCTGACTGTACATACTGTATCTCACAGAAGTGTCACTTGAAAAGATATAATAAATTATTTACATAAATGTGAGGGGTGTACTCACTTCTGTGAGATACTGTATATCTCATATATAGGTCCATATATATTTGAACACAATTTTTATACTTTTGGCTCTGTATGCCACCAGAATAAATTAAAATGGAACAATCCAAATGAATTTGGAGTGCAGACTTTCAGCTTTAATTCAAAGGGTTGAACATAAATATCACGTACAAATTTTAGGAACTGCAACCATTTTTATACACAGTCCCTCCATTTTCAGGGGCTCAAATGTAATTGGAAAAATGAATATAATCATCAATAAAATGTTCATTTTTAATATTTTGCTGAGAATCCTTTACTGGCAATGACTGCCTGAAGTCTAGAACCCATGGACATTACCAAAGACTGGGTTTCCTCCTTTCTGATGCTTTACCAGGCTATAACTGCAGCTGTCTTTAGTTGTTCTTTGTTTGTGGGTCTTTCTGCCTTTAGTTTTGCCTTCAGCAAGTGAAATGCATGCTCAATTGGGTTGAGATCAGGTGATTGACTTGACCATTGCAGAATATTCCACTTCTTTTCCTTCAAAAGCTCCTGGGTCGCTTTTGCAGTGTGTTTTGGATCATCGTCCATCTGTATTGTGAAGCACCGTCCAATCAACTTTGCTGACAGTATATCTCTAAACACTGCAGAATTCATCTGCCTGCTTCTGTCTTCTGTCACATCATCAATATACACCAATGACCCAGTGCCACTGGACGCCATGCATGCCCATGCCATCACACTGCCTCCACCATGTTTTGCAGATGACGTTGTGTGCTTTGGATCGTAAACTGTTCCAAGCCTTCTCCACACTTTCTTCCCATCAATCTGGTACAGATTATTCTTAGTTTCATCCATCCAAAGAATACTTTTCCAGAACTGGTCTGGCTTTTTTAGATATTTTTTGGCAAAGTCAAATCTGACTTTTCTATTCTTCAGGCTTATGAATGGTTTGCACCTTGTGGTTAACCTTCTGTATTTGCTCTCGTGATTGAAGAATTTGACAGTGATACACCCATCTCCTGGAGAGTGTCCTTCACTTGTCTGGATGTTGTGAATGGGTTTTTCTTTACCATAGAGAGGATCCTGCGATCATCCACCACTGTTGTCTTCCATGGATGTCCATGTCTTTTTATGTTGCTGAGCTCACCAGTGCATTCTTCTTTCCTCAGAATGTAACAAACTGTTGATTTGGCCACTCTTAATGTTGCTGCTATGTCTCTGATAGATTTGTTTCATTTTTGAAGCCTTACAATGGCGTGTTCCACTTGCATGGACAACTCCTTTGAACACATGATGTAGATTCACAGCAATAGATTCCAAATGCAAATACCACACTTAGAATCAACTCCAGACCTTTTACCTGCTTAATTGATGAAGAAATAACAAAGGAGTAGCCCACACCTGGCCATAAAACAGCTTTTGATTCAATTGTCCAATTACTTTTGGTCCCTTGAAAAAGGGGGGATGACTACTCTTAAGAGCTGTAATTTCTAAACTCTTCCTCCAATTTGCATGTACATACCCTCAAATTAAACCAGAGAGTGTGCACTTGCAGCTCATATCTATTATATAACTATAGCTTGAATAGGTTTTGGTAAATATCTGAAAAAAACTGAAATTGTGCCTGTGTCCAAATATATATGAACCTAACTATATATATATATATACATACATACATACACATATATATATATATATATATATATATATATATAAAACATTTTTTTTTTAAGTGAAATATGTCATACTTACTTGCTCTGTGTAATGGTTTTGCATTACCCATGAACCTCCACTTCTGGGGTCCCCCATCTGCCCTGTCGGCTCCTCCTCTTTTCTGTGCACCCCCATAGGAAGCTACTTCCTGTGGTGGCACAGCTGTAGGCTTGCTCCAGATCTCGGACCAAACTTCCCTTTCCTTCTCACAGCATTTAATTGGCTAGTGGCTCCCATTGTGTCTGAGTCTGTGAAAGAGGAGAGAGAAAGAACCAGTGCTGCTGCAGACGGACACAGTGCTGGATCGATACAGTACTCCGGTAAGTATTTCAGAAGGGAGGGGAAACAACTAGTGGAAGGTTTTTTACCTTATTGTAGGTAATACATTAAGGAAAATAACCTTTTGGTTTTTAAAACCACTTTAACTGTTTGTTCAGGTCAGTTGACCCTTATTGTGTTTTTCAGTGAGTCTGTTGCTCATGTTTTAGCTGGTTTGTTGCCCACCTCCCATTTATTGCTTGGGGTTGTCCCATGGTCTATGGATCGATACCTATCTCCTGTACTGTATGATAGACATAATAGGAATTGACTTACCTGTAAATTTCATATCTTGAATTACAGTACAGGACATCGGTCCTTCAGGTACTTAAATTCCTATTTTTTGTTTTCACATGATTGGATGAGGGAAGTCAGCTGCGCTTTACCTCATTTACTAAGCTAAAGGAAATTTCCCTTGCAAAGTGAACAGCCTATGTGCCTTTAGTAAATCAACCCCCTTGAGAAACTTACCCAGAATGATTTTTGTCCACCATCTCTGACCATATGGCTGTTATAGGTCCGAAATTTAGGAAGTACTAAGGCGAGAGAGCCAGGCAACTAACATTTTCAGAAGGAGGTCAGCAGTGGCAATCCCATATTTGTATATAAAAAATGTGCAGCTCTAAATAAATTAAATAGGACAAACGGAGTATGAGTATTGTCCCCACTATTAAAGACATAAATCATTGACAGTCTATGTAGTGACGATATCGTGGTATATAACTTCAATCCAGTGGTGGTGCTCCCAGTGGTACGGTAAGAATTACGCACTCACCAGAAGCGTAATTCAATTACGCGGTATGTAAATCAACACGGGTCTCCTTCACAGGTATAGGTCCGGACTGGAACTCAGGGTGATTCTCCCTCTAGATGGTAAGGATATGAGCCCTCAGAGGATGTGGATAGATCCAGCTGGCCAGAGGTCCCTTTAAGGGATAGGTGGGTACAGATGCCTCCTTACAGGTGCTTTCTTCTCTGGATATGATGGACTTGTAAATGGATTGCAGCAGGGCTCTATAAATGATATAATTCCCAGAATGACTCCAACATGTTGATTTACATACCGCGTAATTAAATTACACTTCTGGTGAGTGCGTAATTCTTACCTTACCACTGGGAGCACCACCACTGGATTGAAGTTATATATCACGATATCGTCACTATATAGACTGTCACTGATTTATGTCTTTATTAGTGGGGACAATACTCATACTCCGTTTATCCTGTTTAATTTATTTATCAGCGCTGCACATTTTTTATATGTTTATGACAAGGTTTTATTTGGTTTCCTTGAGTGTCCAACTGCTTACCTTAAGAGCGCTCACTTTCATTGCCATTTTATTCTAATCCCATATTTGTGTCAGTACAAGTTTCTCCAAATAAATTAAAGCAGGCCTGCTTACTTGGCAAAATTAATGATTCTTCCTCAAAATCCTTTTTATAGAGATGTCAAATAAAGTGGTAAGAACACTAATTTATGTAGAACACTGATTTATGTAGGTTCCCTGTTGTCGTGCTTCTTGTGTAAAATTTTATGTATTTTTTTTGTTTAATAATTTTTTTTTTTTTTTTTAAGAGATCAAACCCTGTGCATCATCTCCTTGCCTGAATGGGGGAACATGCAAGAATCTGGAAGATAGTTACAGCTGTGTGTGTACAGGGGGGTACACCGGTGATCGCTGTCAGACAGGTAAGGAGACTTTGAAAAACTCTCAAGTTAATAAAAATTGTTGCATGTTGTTATTCAGTCCATTATCAGACCAGAAATAAATACATTTTCAAATATATCTCTTCTGTTTATAAAGGGGCCATGCCCAAATATATTGCAGAAGAGGACTTGCCATTGCCTGATGTTGTAGCCTAAAAGGTCTTTTTTACTATAAAAGTATAGCATGCCACGTTCATACTGAATCATTTATGTTTCTTTTATACACTTCTTTGAAGATTTCTGCATTCTTATGTCAGTTTTGCTTTGTGTTTTACCATGGCGTAGATAGCTTGTTACACCCCATAAAGTGAGATGGAAGCGCAGGGTACCACTCTCAAATGAGAAAGCGTATACAATGTTAGCATTTTTCATTATTTACATTAGGAGAGAAGCTGCTTGCCAGTTTTGCCAAGATGTTTTTATTCCCAGCAGAGTTTTTCTGTAATATACCTTCTTCATCTAGATATCCAACCATGTGCTTCCTTTCCTTGCCTTAATGGGGGCATCTGTGAGGATACACCTGAAGGATTCACCTGTTTGTGTAAACGAGGATACTCAGGCATTCATTGCCAGACAGGTGAGTGTGAGATCAGTATAAACGTTATGCTTTCTGCCAACCAGTGATGTACATTTTACCTGACTGATGCAGTCTTCTGTCTGCCATATGTATAGGTGCTTCACAATGGAAAGTGTAGTGATAATAACCATTTCTTATACATCTAATTTTATTTAGAGATTAAACCGTGTTCTTCATCTCCATGCCTAAACGGGGGAATGTGTAAGGATGTGAGTGGTACTTATATCTGCGTGTGTCCTCGAAGATTCTCTGGTTCACACTGTGAAACAGGTAAAATAACCTTTGTCTCGCTTTCTGGGTTATAGCTGTAGTTGCTGTCTTTAGTTTATGTAGCTGGTGTTAAGACAGAGTGATACTGAAAATCAGGTAAGGTCTTGTCTAGTGTCCTGCGTGAAGGGAAAATGCAGTGAATGTTTAGTAAGATATATCTTTAATTTTGATATGATTTTTACAAACTTGTTCTTCCATATGTTGTCATTGTATTAAATACAGAGAAATGGAAATAAGCATCTAAAAAAGGATTTCTGTGATTTAAGAGTTACTAAACCCACATGAGTAAAATCAGTCTATATATGCAGTAAAACATGCTTGTTATACTCATTGTGGAACCTAAGGGGTTAATCCTCCGCATTGTGTAAAAAGGATGTTTGATCCTGTTTTCCCTGATCCTCCCCTTATTCTGCTGTCCCCAATCTATCTGTTGATAGTACAGAACTCTAGGAGTCACTCTGAACATGTTCAGTTTAATCTGTATTCCTAGAGAGTTTTTTTTTCTTTTGGGAGGGTGCATGTGATCTGTGCTGGGCCAATCGGGACTGTCCAGACAGAGGGTCAGGGGTCCTGCAGCCTTACAGTACAGTCAAAGCAGAATGAAAACTCCTCCTACAAGCTTTAACCAGTGCTCAGCTGGATACTGATAGAAGTCACAAGACTGCTATGTGCCTCTGATGAGAAAAGGTATAAAGGTATCTCTGCTTAAAGTATAAGTTCACATTTTTAAACATGCTACATGTTACACCCATATTCAGGGTTTAACATGTTACAAAAGGACCGGCTTCCACTCCCCCCTGATTCCCCGTTTTGACAGGTAGCAGGGGATCTTCTGCCCCCCCCAGCTCTCACAATTGTTTTTAAAATGTGGCCATGTGTGGCTCGGCTGCCTCACTTATTGACAGTATTCTATGAATGGGAAAAATGACAGCCACAAAGGCTTGTAGTTCTCAGTGAACTACCATGGTGATGTTGAGCGCCGTAGTAGTTAATTGACTTTTCCTGTCAGTGCTTATCTGCTTGCTCGTACAAGGTGTGAGCACACAGATACACTGACAGGTCTGCAGAAGTCCTGCATGGCACCAGTGATCTGCTAATCACAGGTGCAATGCTTTGCAGGCTCCCAAAACAAAAAATAGTCAATGCACATTTTTTTATCTGCAAAAAAATGTACATTTTTTTTTTTGTTAAAAGGTGACCTTATCCTTAAACAACCATTGAGATAAGTTCATTATTTTCAGTGTGTCATTGCACTTATGAATTTGCATTGTGTGCAGGATCAGCAAAGTACAATCATTGTATAGCACTGCACTTCAATAAGCAGGGCCTGAGTAGGTACTGAGCAGATACTTCTTTGTGCATGTAAAGATACAAATAATACAAAGAAACAAGGCTTTTTTAATGTTAATACACATTAATGAGGCTATTTGCATTATTATTATCTCTTTTACATGTTAAAAGAAAACATTCTGAAGACTGTACATTCAGCACAGTACGTGGAAGCACACTCTTCTATGCAGCCAGTGACATTTGACATGTAATATCTCATGATACTCTGGCAAAGAAGAAGATTGGTGAATATAATAAAACTAAATTGAACCAGTGCCATACTTGTATATATGTAATACGTACAGTATATACAGTGGGGATCGAAAGTTTGGGCACCCCAGTTAAAATTTGTATTAATGTGCATAAAGAAGCCAAGGAAAGATGGAAAAATCTCCAAAAGGCATCAAATTACAGATTAGACATTCTTATAATATGTCAACAAAAGTTAGATTTTATTTCCATCATTTACACTTTCAAAATAACAGAAAACAAAAAAATGGCGTCTGCAAAAGTTTGGGCACCCTGCAGAGTTAATATCTTGTACTGCCCCCTTTGGCAAGTATCACAGCTTGTAAACGCTTTTTGTAGCCAGCCAAGAGTCTTTCAATTCTTGTTTGAGGTATCTTTGCCCATTCTTCCTTTCTAAAGTCTTCCAGTTCTTTGAGATTTCTGGGCTGTCTGTCACGCACTGCTCTTTTAAGGTCTATCCATAGATTTTCAATTATGTTGAGGTCAGGAGATTGTGAAGGCCATGGCAAAACCTTCAGTTTACGCCTCTTGATGTAATCCCTTGTGGATTTCGAGGTGTGTTTAGGATCATTATCCATTTGTAGAAGCCATCCTCTCTTTAACTTCAGCTTTTTCACAGATGGCATCAAGTTACCATCCAAAATTTGCTGAAATTTCATTGAATCCATTTTTCCTTCTACTCGTGAGATGTTCCCTGTGCCCCTGGCTGCAACACAACCCCAAAGCATGATTGATCCAACCCCATGCTTAACAGTTGGACAGAGGTTCTTTTCATTAAATTCTGTGCCCCTTCTTCTCCAAACGTACCTTTGCTCATTCCGGCCAAAAAGTTCAATTTTAACCTCATCGGTCCACAGAACTTGTTTCCAAAATGCATCAGGCTTGTCTATATGTTCATTTGCAAAGTTCAAACGATGATTTTTTGTGGTGAGGACGTAGAAGAGGTTTTCTTCTGATGACTCTTCCATGAAGACCATATTTGTACAAGTATCTCTTTATAGTGGAATAGTGTACTACAACTCCAGTGTCTGCCAGATCTTTCTGGAGGGATCGTGCAGTCAAACGTGGGTTTTGAATAGTTTTTCTCACAATCCTGCGAGCTGTTCCGTCTGATATTTTTCTTGGTCTTCCAGATCTTGCTTTAACTTCCACTGTTCCTGATGACTGCCATTTCTTAATTACATTCCGAACAGAGGATATTGACATCTGAAAACGCTTTGCTATCTTCTTATAGCCTTCTCCAGCTTTGTGAGCATCAACTATTTTCAGTTTCAGTTTTCTAGACAACTGCTTAGAAGAACCCATGGTGCTGATTGTTGGGGCAAGGTCAGATGAGTCTGGGCATTTAAAACCTTTGAGATTGACATCACCTGGTCTTCCCAGACGATGATTGAGAACAATCCATGACACTGGCAGGTCTCAGCTTTGCAAAGGGGGCAGTGCATGCTATAAATTCTGCAGAGTGCCATTTTTTTGTTTTCTGTTATTTTGAAAGTGTAAATGATGGAAATAAAATCTAACTTTTGTTGACATATTATAAGAATGTCTAATCTGTAATTTGATGCCTTTTGGAGATTTTTCCATCATTCCTTGGCTTCATTATGCATATTAATACAAATTTTTAGCTGGGGTGCCCAAACTTTCGATCCCCACTGTACATATATAAAAGCGTGGGGCTGAGTCAATTTAGTTTTATTTGTTTTAGTACATTTAAGTTGGTGGTACACTTATAGACTTTGGCATCAGCACGATTTACATTGGCTTTTTCATGTAAAGTAATACACAGGTGTGTGCAAGGGATTTTCATTTTATATTGGTGATTATAATGTTTGGGATCACAGGTCTCCCTCTAGTTGAAAATAAATAACACTTTTTAAAAAGTTTTAAATTTCGCATTTATTAAAACATCACAGTTTCATATTATATAGAGATTAGATATTTATTTTATTGTGCTGTGTTTGTCTGCACAGAGTTTAGTGTATTTATATAGAAAATATTGTTATTGCTCTCATTGGATGTACAAAAATAACAGTCCTATGTTGAAATAATATGGGTCCTGTCAGATAGTAGACCAGATGCGATTTCTCCTGCGCTCAAGGACCCAGGCCAAGGCCGGTGGCGAGTAGATGGAACCAAAACCAGAAAAAAGCGACCACCAGTGCATACAAGGTTGTGCAGCTCCAAACAAGGCTGGGTAAGCCCGACCAATACTGCAAAGTGAAACAAAAACGAGAATCGCACCAACCTTGCGCATTACCTCAGCAACCACATTTTATTAATTAAAGAATGGTACTCACAAACAGCGAATAAAATCAGGCATGTATTCCTCAAAGGGACTTCAGAGATGAGGAGCCAGCGCGAATCCCATCATGGGGGTAGACACTCAGTACAACTGATGCGTTTCGAAGGCCATGCCTTCTTAATCAGAGCTGAAGTCCCTTTGAGGACTACATGTCTGATTTTTTTCACTGTTTGTGAGTACCATTCTTTAATTAATAAAATTTGGTTGCTGAGGTAATGCGCAAGGTTGGTGCGCTTCTCGTTTTTGTTTCACTTTGCAGTCCTGTCAGGTAGTATCTGGCTGAAAAAGGGTTACATGTCAGCAAAGTTTAACTCTAGCAGGGTCTCCTGTTTCTTAAAACATGATCTTAAAATATGAACATATTTTGATATTGTGTATTATCCTTGGCTTTTTTCTAATCTTAGAAAACCGACCGTGCTCCTCATCTCCTTGTCTGAATGGTGGGATGTGCAAGGACATAGATGACAGCTACAGCTGTTTGTGTCCATGGGGATACACCGGGCAGAGATGTGAAACTGGTGAGAATATCTATTTCCAATGATGTCCATCCATTGTTTCATATAAATGTTAGTCATATTGTATGTTGGGGGTCAGCAACCCGTGGCCAGGTGACTGGTAAATCATGGTCTGGGCTTGCTGACCCGTCATCCCAGAGCATCAAACAGAGTGCAAAGCAGGGGGACTACTTGTAAAGTTGGCATTGTAGTAGGGAGCAAGAACTGCATAAGCCGATACTTCCTCTGTAGTGATGGTTTCTGTCCCAATAGAGTGATACCAACTGTACTCCACCTCTTATCCTGGCTTGCGGTCTCCAGAGTGGTACCAGCAGCAGGAAAGAAGCATAACACTGGGCATAATGGTATAGGGCTGCTTTCACACTGATACAACTTTCCTGCAGGTTTGCTGCACTTAGCCATAGACTTCTATTATATCCTGCAGGTTTGGTGCACTTTCTGAAAGTACATCAAAAGACCTGAATGCAGGAGTTTTGGTATGCTTTTAGAAAGTTCACAGCACCTGCAGGATATAATAGAAGTCTATGGCACAGTGCAGATAACCCTGGAAAATCGCAGATACACTTTGCTGCACCCACGGTGCAGGTAAACCACAGCACTTCAGTGTGAAAGCAGCCTTATAGGAGGCTCAGAACAGTAAGGGTTCATTTATATTTGCAGTTTGCGAGGTGGTAAAACCACCAAAATTAAGATGTGTTTTTGCCACCCCTGCCTCAAATCCACCCCCTTTAGCTGGACTGGCCAGGGGTGTACACATGTCGCATATACAGCAGGAGTTATACGCCCTGTCATGGTTGGTGGATCAAGTGAATGAGGCTGCTGCGCAAGTGCCCTGCAACCTTGTGCAGTACAGCAAACAAGGGGTTAAAGCAGGCAGCGTTGTGTTGCTTTTTCACCACCTGCTTTAACCCCTTGGACCCCACAAAAGCTAGCAGTTGCAGAGTGGCCCCATTTACTTGAAGGGGGCATGATTGGCAGACAGTAAAAACCACCTAAAGCAACAGGGGTCTTTATTCCTGCTGTGGTATGTGTACACCTTTGGATGCTGCCTCAGCAGGTATAGGGGGTAGGGTTTGGGGGCGGTAGAACGTCTGAACGAGCCTTAAGGGTGTCTCTGCTGAATGCAACTAAGGGCTCATTCACAAGTGTATCAGGCACTGCTGTTCCTCTGAAAAGCATATGTGACAGGTGGTGAGGAGGCGATATATTGCTTCCTTACCATATGATGTAAATCCATGATTGCCTTGCTGCATGCAATTGCGACATAGTACTACAGCAATTAGCGGTTTAAATCAGACGTGGGGAGGTGACACTGGGCGACACTGTGCTCGGTGATCTTTGACTTCTCCCATGTTGTTTAGGTAGATCTCCACCTCTTTAAGGTTGCCAACTCCTGCTGTATGTGGTAATAAGGGTACGTGATGGCACAAATCTTTGCACTTAGGCTTAGTTTTTAGCATTCAAATGCATGGTTTTATTCCTCCAGATGTAAAGTAGAACTATAGGCAGAACTTTTTTTTTCATTTTGGATAGAGTAAGGGAGGGTCATAACTTCTGTCAGTTATTCTTTGCACTCTATGACCCATCAGGGAGAATTCACTTTTCATACCCAAACAGGAAGTGAGAGGAAATCCCTGCAAATTAAGGGAATCTCTATGGGACCCCCAGGTCACCAGAACCAGTGTCCCTAAAGGGAGATTTTCCCTCTATTACTTTTTTGGGGACAACCCAAATTAGTGGGATTTTCTTTTAATTTCACTGATAATGATAAACAGGACAAATAGAGAGGCTAATGCAGGCCATAGACGGGGAGAAAACCGGCCTTTTTTTCAACAAAAAAACGAAAAATCGGTCGTTCAATAGGCCGCGGTTACCACCAACAGTAAAATAAAATCGGCTGATTTTCTTCCCGTCTACGGCCGGCATTTAATTACTTCTGTCCCTGAAGAGAGCCCCGCTATTATATTTGACATTAAAAAGTATTGCGGTTGCAACATTGTATCTATTTGTATCCATTTCGGATACAGATTTTTTTTTTTTCAGATACAAATAGATACATTGTTGCAACCACAATACTTTTTAATGTTAAATATAATAGCGGACTGGAATTCTTTTTTCTCTTCTTCTTCTTCTTCTTTCTCTTCTTCTTCTTCTTCTTCTTTCTCTTCTTCTTCTTCTTCTTAGTCTTCTTCTTTCTCTTCTTCTTCTTCTTTCTCTTCTTCTTCTTCCTCTTTCTCTTCTTTTTTTCTTCTTCTTCTTCTTCTTCCTCTTCTTCTTTCTCTTCTTTTTCTTCTTTCTCTTCTTCTTCTTCTTTCTCTTCTTTTTCTACTTTCTCTTCTTCTTTCTCTTCTTCTTCTCTTCTTCTTCTTCTTTCTCTTCTTCTTCTTCTTCTTCTCTTCTCTTCTTCTTCCTTCTTCTTCTTCTTCTTCTCTCTTCTTCTTCTTTCTCTTCTTCTTCTTCTGCTTCTTCTTTCTCTTCTTCTTCTTCTTCTTTCTCTCTTTCTTCTTCTTCTTCTTCTTACTCTTCTTTTTCTTTCTCTTCTTCTTCTTCTTTCTCTTCTTCTTTCTCTTCTTCTTCTTTCTCTTCTTCTTCTTCTTTCTCTTCTTCTTCTCTCTTCTTCTTCTTTCTCTTTCTCTTCTTCTTTCTCTTTTTCTTCTTCTTTCTCTTTTTCTTCTTCTTTCTCTTTTTCTTCTTCTTTCTCTTTTTCTTTCTCTTCCTCTTCTTCTTCTTTCTCTTCTTCTTCTTCTTTCTCTTCTCTCTTTCTTTCTCTTCCTCTTCTTTCTCTTCCTCTTCTTCTCTCTTCTTTCTTTCTCTTCCTCTTCTTTCTCTTCCTCTTCTTCTCTCTTCTTCTTCTTCTTCTTCTCTTCTTCTTCTTCCTCTTCTTCTCTCTTCCTCTTCTTCTTCTTCCTCTTCTTCTTTTCTTCTTCTTCTTCTTCTTCTTTCTTCTTCTTCTTCTTTCTCTTCTTCTTCTTCTTTCTTCTCTTCTTCTTCTTCTTTCTCTTCTTCTTCTTCTTTCTCTTCTTCTTCTTTCTCTTCTTCTTTTTTCTCTTCTTCTTCTTTCTCTTCTTCTCCTTTCTCTTCTTCTTCTTCTTTCTATTCTTCTTCTTTTTCTTCTTCTTTCTCTTCTTCTTCTTCTTTCTCTTCTTCTTTCTCTTTTTCTTCTTCTTCTTCTTTTTCTTCTTCTTTCTCTTTTTCTTCTGCTTCTTTCTCTTCTTCTTTCTCTTCTTCTTCTTTCTCTTCTTCTTTCTCTTCTTCTTCTTCTTTCTCTTCTTTCTTCTTCTTCTTTCTCTTCTTCTTCTTTCTCTTCTTCTTTCTCTCTCTCTTCTTCTTCTATCTCTTTTTCTTCTTCTTCTTTCTCTTCTTCTTCTTTCTTTTCTTCTTTCTCTTCTTCTTCTTCTTTCTTTTCTTCTTTCTCTTCTTCTTCTTCTTTCTCTTCTTCTTTCTCTTCTTCTTTCTCTTCTTCTTTCTTTTCTTCTTCTTCTTCTTTCTCCTCTTCTTCTTCTTCTTTCTCCTCTTCTTCTTCTTCTTCTTTCTCTTCTTCTTCTTTCTTTTCTTCTTCTTCTTCTTTCTTTCTCTTCTTCTTCTTCTTCTTTCTCTTCTTCTTTCTCTTCTTCCTCTTCTTTCTCTTCTTCCTCTTCTTTCTCTTCTTCTTCCTCTTCTTTCTCTTCTTCTTCCTCTTCTTCTTTCTCTTCTTCTTCCTCTTCTTCTTTCTCTTCTTCTTCCTCTTCTTTCTCTTGTAGGTCATGGCTCATGCGCAGATTTTTTATCGGTAAAAAGATTTGACCATCATTGCTGCGAAAATTGGCCGATCGGCAAAATCGGACGATTTTTTTCCCACTTTACCGATCAAAAAAATCGGCCGATTTTCAACCCATCTATGGCCTGCAGAAATCCCCCTAATGGGAGCACAGACAGCATAAACACTGACAGGTGTTCTAACCCATCACCACTCCATATCCATAACTACAAAAAAGTTTGCCTTTAATTGTACTTTATTGAAATGGATTAGTGCACCAAAATCTCATGCTTATTTTTTTTTAGATCAGATAGGTGAAGAGGGGTTTTCCCAATTTGTTTTCTTTTTTTTGCCAAATAGTTGAACTGACCTATGTTGTTGCCTCATATTATTTTTTTCTAACAATACTTTTGCAGAGAGCTTTATCACAACTCTCTAGTAATCTCTAGAAATCAGCTGTGAAAACACCTTTCCTTACTGTCAATTTTAGTTTACCTTCCTTCATCCCTCTATGGCCTCATGCACACTGGGCTTTTAGCCCTGGTTTAGGTGCGGGGAAAGGAATAGGCTCATTGTCCAGTTCTGCTGTCAGCAGCCTACCAAACTCTATGAGAAGCTGAGAGCTGCTGTGGCTGGTTGGTGCATCGAAAGGTACTTGCATTTAGTGTAGTATACACCCAGTGATGAATGTCCAGAACACAAGCAGGCTGCGTTGCTGGCATTTCTCCCTGGGCGCACTGCACTAAGTGTAAGTACCGTTTAGTGCACCTTCCAGCTGCTCCAACTGTTAACCTCTTCTAGAATTTTACAGGCTGCTGGCAGCGAGTCTTGCGTGTGCACCTGCACCTTACACCCATACCTAAATGCCAGAGCCACAATTATTAAATATTACTAATAATATTACTGTTAGCTGACCTCAGCCAATAGCAAAGAATATTTCTAGAGAATCTGGAAAAAAACATTGACATTATGGAATCCAGAAAGACTATGTAAAATTCAACTTTACCTTTAAGCCTCAGTTTTCATAGCTTCATGAGAAAAATGTTTAAAGAGCTGTGACATTGAAAGAGATCAGTAAAGAACTTACAACAAGCTCTATGCGAGGTGCTGTTAGATTGAGAAGTAGGAGAAATAGTTTGATTTATTTTACCTCCATGGGATTACAGCAGAAATCCTCGGATTCTAAAGCTAAAAGGATTTGCCCTAAGAAGCCCCTTTAATTGATGGTAAAGGATATTAAAGCCGGACATACACTGATTGAAACTGGGGCCACATTACAATCAGTGTGTGCCTGTCCCTGGTGTACACAAGTTGATTGTTTGATTGGCTTCTGTTAAAGAGACATGCTGGAACACTTTTTTTGATCAGCAGCTGCAGCTGACGATTAGTGTTTTCTGACAGCAGTGGAAGCCGACGTCAGAATATAATGTCCCCTCATTTGTGTGGATGAAGAAATCTATTAGTTTTTTTTTTTGTGCAGCCAGCAGGCTAAACAAGGAAAAACTAACAGCGTATGACTAGCTTTACACAAGGACTTTTTGGTTATCCACCTGGGAACACATCAGTCAATGACTAGTTCTTCTTATCTTTCCATAAGTGATGAACTGCTATAAAGTCTCATTTCAGACAATAAAGCAATGGCAGAAAATGTATTTCCCCATATCAATATTCAGAATAATTATTGCTTGAGGTTTTCTGTTGCAGCTGTTCTACTAGATTTACTGTATGTTTACTATACCTTTAGGGTTGGTTCACACTATAGAAACACCGTCCAGATGTGTTTTTGCATGCGCGTTTTTGATGTGTTCCGGTATGTTTTTGACACGTTCCAGTGTGCTTTTTATGCATTCCAGTTCATTTTTCACCTCTTTTTCTCCTCAATTTAAATAGGGACATGTGCATTTCAGTGCATTTTTGGTGCGTTTTACCATGTTCCAGTACAGTTCTGTGCAGAAAAAATGCAGCCTGTTCTACTTTTTTTTCTGCAACTGGAACACACTGGAACTAAGGGCCAGTTCACACTACATGCATTTCAGTTGCTCTTTTTCTGCACCCAAAACGCACAAAAGGTTATATGGTTGTCATTGTCATAATTGACATCAGTGCTTGCAGTTCCAGTTCGTTTCAGTTGCAGAAAAAAAAGTAGAACATGCTGCATTTTTTCTGAACAGAACTGTACTGGAACTCGGTAAAACGCATCAAAACCACACCGGAACACACCAAAAACGCTCTGGAACGCACGTGTCCCTATTTAAATTGAAGAAAAAGAGAGGGGAAAAAATTAACCGGAATACTTAAAAAAATGCACCGGAATGTGCCAAAAACGCACATGTAAAACTTATCCAGAACGCATCTTCTCTATAGGATGTTATGGAATCCCTGCATGACGTAAAAATATATTACATGATGATTTCACAGAATTATGAGAGTTTCTGTTTTTCTGCACAGAGTTAAGACCTTGCTTGTCATCTCCCTGTATGAATGGTGCCACTTGTGAGGACATGAGTGATGGTTACAGCTGTGTCTGCACAGAAGGATTTACTGGAGTACATTGTGAGACAGGTGAGCAGTACATTTCATTATTAATGAAGAGCTGCAGGAATATTTATTAAGCTTTGGGTAATGTATGAGGCTGGCAACACATTCCTGATTATTAATTTATGTGTGAGGTTGGGTGGTTGACTGAATGCCAGCATTGGGAGTTGCAGGAATGTTTCTTTCAGAGTTTCATCCTCTATTATGATGGGTTGCAGCTCTTCAATTCTTTCTTATTGCATGTGGTTACAAGAAGTACATGTTCAATGTTTTTTTTTTCTTTGTACTGTAGAAGATGTTTGGGTTTTTAAAGCAGTGTTTATGCTTGTACTGACTTTGATTTTTTTGCCATAGTCTAGACCAGGGGTCTCCAAACTATGGCCCTCCAGCTGTTGAAGTACTACAAGTCCCATCATGCCTATGCAAAGCTATCTGGTGGTCTGGCTGTGTAAGGCTGGGTTCACACAGGAACAGACAGCTGCCGGAGTGTTTTACCTGTCTGGCAGCTGTCCACTCCCAACTGTGCTAGGAGGTAGTGTGGTGAATGATTCAGTGCATCACACAGCTCTCCATTTTTATTCTTTTGGACAAACTTTATTTGATGTATACAAAACATACACTTCATTCATGGTGCTGTACAGCAGTGTGATGCTGTACAGTGAGCTGTGATCAAATGCAACATGTCTTCATTTTATCGCAGCATGCTGCAGAACACCTCAGGGCTGCTTTGCAGTGTGAATGGGACTCACCAAAAACAAATGTTTTCTGCTTGTCCTTTTGGTGAAAGGCCTTTTACAATGCAGTAAAACACCTGTCACCGCGCAGTGTGTGAATTAGCCCTAAGATGCCGCTCTTGGTGTGTTGGTGTTGGAAGCTGGAGCTTTTGGAGTTGCATTGGTCAGTGTGTTTTTTGTACATTGAGGTATGCAGCTTGTCATGCTTGATGGATACTGTGATGTCTTGGAAGTTCACGTGTGCTTAAAGAGGATCTTCACCTTGTAAAGAAAAAATGTAAAAGTCAGCAGCTACAAATACTGTAGCTGCTGACTTTTAACCAGTTGCAGACCAGCCCATATAGCTTTACTGCTACAAGGCGAATGCTCTGTGCAGATTCATGTATATATATATGTGATTCTGCTTTTCTGGGTAGGGGGTGCACTCGCCTGCCTACCCACGCGGTCACTGGCTCCCTTACATGTCAGTCATCATGTCCTGGCCAGTGATTTATGGCTGGGACCCAGCAATCGGCAAAACGACTGACTGAGATCTGTGAATGTAAACAACTCAGATCTTTCTCCTGTCAGCGGGCATGTGCCGGATTTTATCTCTCTGCAATATAGGGAATAAAAACCTACAGATCCCGTAGTAAAACAGTGCACAGTACACAGTAAAAACACTCCATGGCTCACAGTAATCCTTTGATCGACCCAGATGTTGACTCCTTCCTGCCCAGTGTCATTAGTACAGTGACAGTGACAGGCTTTTTATTAGCACTGATCACTGTACTAGTGTCACTGGAGATGTCAATGGCAGTTAGTCCGTTCCCACCCAGTGTCACAGTCCTGCTATAAGTCGCTGATTGCCGTCATTACTAGTGTAAAAAAAAAAAAAAAAAACCCAGTATCTATGCCATTGTTTGTAGACACTATAATTTGAATGCAAACCAATATACACTTATTGTGATTTTTTTTTTTTTACCAAAGACATGAGCAAGTGGTTAAAGGCACACACTTATCTGTCCTAGGATCCGATTATTTCCTCACCTGACCTGGCTCTTTGCCTTTGTTTGGGTCCACGTGCCAGCATCTTAGCTGTGAGTAGCTGACTGTGACTCCTTTGGCTTCATAACCAGCTGCCCCCATGATTGGTACCACAGTTTCCTGTGGCCTTTGACGTGTCCCAAGAGGCTGTGGGGGAAGGAGGCCTAGGCAATCAGAGCAGAAGTGGGAGCGGGAACCTGTCAAAAACAGCTCCCCCAAATATGGAGGGGGGGGAGAGTTGAACTTCCATTTTTTGTGTGTGAAGTTCCACTTTAAATAGTCCATTTTTTGTTTGATTTAGTGGGTGAAATGTTTTAAACAATGAGTGAAATTTTCTTTCCATTTCTTCACCTTATGATGAAATGTTTGGCTTTGTTGTATGCTGCTAAGAATTTAGTCCTCCAGGTCTGCCATAAATAGGTTAGCATATAAGGTAAGAAGAAGGGAGCACCTGAAAAGCTTGTCCTGAAAATTGAATTGTTTGTGCAAATAAAAAGTATCACATATAGTACTTGTTTTTTATCTGGTTGATTAAAAATCCTACCAGCAAGTTATAAATCCATAGAAATTCCTGTCCTACAGTGAATTGGACATTGGCAAACAAAAAAAGTGTCAGTCAGCCAGTATGATCCTTGCCACTTCTTGGCACTCTTATCATGCTTCAGTTTCTTGCTAGTGTCCTAAGGAAATGAGAGAAGCAAACAAATACCTGGACCCCTCTGTGAGGAAGGTGTGGGGCTAGCCTGTATTGTGACCTGCAGGCAGAGGGCTCTGATAGTGGCAGTCTCTAGATGCAGTAGGGCACTGTACAGGTGAAGGACCGTGACATATCCCTCTGGTGGAATCCTGTCCCTGAAGACTCCACTGAGAGTGTGCTCACCTGCTGGGGCAAAGTCTGTCTGTTATGAACTTGTTTTGCGCTGTCTGTTGCACTGTCCACTGCTTATGCTATCTGCCCATTGTAAGGCGTCATGCATACTGCCTGAGTATCAGGGCTTGTCCTTGCTTATGGAGCCTGGTGCGTGTTTTTGTGTGTCCTACTACCAAAGAACAACCCAAAATAAATTCTCCTGCTTCAAACGATCATAGCGATACCACATATGCAAGGGTGCAGAGGGACTAAATTGGTGCCCCAATCTACTTGACCCTCATGACAATCTACTTGTCCTGATAAAAAATAAATACATTTTAACCAAAACTGTATTTAAATTTGCTTTAAGTAATGTCCGGGGCTTTTAAAACAAAAAGAGCTTTATGGCGACTTAAATGTTTAATATTTTTAACGTTGCGCTGTATATTTCCTCCTCCCCTCCCTGCCTGTCTCCAGCACCGCACTCGGTGACTAGCATGGAGGAAAGAGACCTTGCAGTGTAATAAGCACTGATTGGCTGCGACGAACTTCCTTCTGGCGTGCACAGCGATATGTAACATGTGTATCGCAATCGTCATTTTCTTGCATAGGCGCCCCAACGTGTGCTTTTACATTTGTACGTGGTGTGACGAACGCGGCGTCAGACCCCTGCCCTTCTCGCCAAACTCATGACCGAAGGACTAGCCAATCTAAAACCGCGATGTCACGTGCGTAACAATGCCACGCCCAGCTGTACCCTGCACAACGATTTTCCAGCTAATGGACCACAAATCGATGTACCGGCAGCCTGAGCGCGATTGTTACTGGGTCAGGTTAATTACGCAATTAACCCTTCACACTGCCACCACCTCCTTTTTGTACAGAGAAAGAGGAAACTCGGCAATATCAGCAATAACACTAGGATGATTGGATAATCGTCTGGATACCACTGTCACCGCAGACAGACACTCTATACAGAGGATTAAACACACATAGTAGCGCTCTTCAGCGGCAGGAATTCGTAAGTTGCATTAAAGAGCTATAGAAACAGTTCAACACTTTCAGAAAGAAAGATTTATTACTAAAAGGTCAAAAGGGTGCAATCAAAATATTTACAGAAAAAAGATGTAACCAATATATACTGTATATAAATACAGAGAGCAATAACACAGCAAAAAGGTAACAGAAAGAGGTTTAGAAAGGTAGAGCACTTGCCAAAAGTCCTGGGTTAAGCAGATCAAGTTTCAGAGCAAAAGGGCACCGTCTCCCAAGTTGGTTCTGATGTTAAAAGGGAGATTTCTTCAACTTCAACTCTTAGGCCTGACAGCCTATTTTGTCGTCCCCCAGCAGGGGGTGTCTCTGAAGCCAAGGACCAATGCCTCATTTGGGGAAGGGGTGTCTAGGCGGAGACCCAAGCTAGAACCAAAATCTCTTGTAGCTTATATTTTGGCTCATAACTTTTCCTAGGCACAAGTAACATTCCAAAGAGGTGATTTCAAAGAGGTACAAAATAGAGTTTCAAACTATACCCTCTCATTGTTTTCTTTCAAACCAACCAAAATCTGCCCAAGGACAGACAGATTTACAGATTTTCCTAATCATCTCTTGTCCCAGAGAGTTGTTGTTCCAGTCCCTCTGGAGGACAGGTTCAAAGGATTCTATTCAAACCTGTTCATGGTACCAAAACCGAATGGGACTATTTGGCCTATGATAGACCTAAAATCTCTAAACAAGTACCATTGTGTTCCCAAGTTTCACATGGAATATGCAAGGTCGGTCACTGCCTCTATGAGACAAGGGTAATACTTGACATCAGTAGACATCCAATATGCCTACCTCCATATTCCCATTTACCTCATCACCTCATTAGCGTTTTCTGTGCTTTGCAGTAGCAGACAAACAATTACAATTTATCACAATGCTACTTGACCTATCATCTGCACCCAGAGTATTCACAAAGGTGCTTGCACTCCTACTCGCCTTTTTCAGAACTCAGGACATCTAGATTACTGTTTATTTAGATGTCCTTCTTCTGAGGGATTCATCTCCTTCAAAACTGTCTGCAAACTTCCAAAGGACTTTTCATATTCTTCAGACTTTCAGTTGGGTAATCAACTTCTAAGTCTGTCTTTCAGCCTTCCCTTTCTTCTGAAGATCAGAGCAATAAAATTGGCTCTGCACTACTGGATCCCTGTTATTTAGGGACACCAAGTTAGGGTGCAGTCAGACAATCTCAATCATCAGAGGGGGTCAGTCAGTAGTTAAGCATTAATTCTGATCATCTCCTGGGCAGAAAAACACTGTCTGGCAGTCTCTGCTGTTCACATTTTGAGTATGTCCAATTGAATGGTGGATTTCCTCAGTTGACACAGGTAGATCAGTGGGAATGGTACCTTCATCCCAACATCTTCAATCTA